CCCTGTAGATGCCTGTGGTTGGTGGCTATATTGTCTCTCTTGGCAGCCGCGGATAGGGTTGGGGAAGGGGAGAATGAGACAATATGGCGCCTGCCTTGCAGCTCAGGTCTGTGCACAGGGAAGTGCCCCGTGGGAGTTGGGAGTCTGGTGCCGCGTCCGCTACAGGCTTACCGCTCACTAGCGGTGGCCGTCTCTGGGCTGGTGTCTACAGGTCTCTCTAACTGCTGGGGAGCCCCCCAGCAGTCCAAGATGCAGGGGAGGAGAGGGTTAATTGCTCTACCTACCCTTGCTGCTGGTCTCTACGCTTCTTGGGAGGTCTCTGCTTCCAGTTCTCCTCTGTAACCTCCTCCTGTGGAGTCTCCTGTAGTCTCCAGTACCTCTCCTTCTGACCCTCATCCGATGTATGCTCATCTGCTTGCTTCTTTCTTCTAATTTCTTCTAGAATCTGTCTTTTTTGCAGAGACACTCTGTCTGGTTGTGTTTCTTGTCTGCCATCTTGCTCCCTTTTTTCTAGAAGATAGAGTCTTTATAAAGAAGAAGAAGGAGATAAAGCCATAAAGAGAAAATAAATTGAAATAAAGGCAGAGGTAAAGGGGAGATAACTAAAATAAGAGAAATGGAAAGAAATCCAAAATACTATGCCAAAATGCAATCTACATTTGAATTGGAAAAAAAAGAAAAAGGGAAAAGAAAGAAAGAAAAGATACTACAGAAACTTGAATCAGCAAATTTAGTCCAGTAATATATAAAATTATGGCATTTCCCAACCAAGTGGGGTTCATTCTAGAATTCAGGCCATTCTAACATTCAAATAACAATGAAAGTAATCATTATATTAACAGACTAAATTTTAAAAGTCATATGATCATCTCATTAGATACAGAAAAAGCATTAAACAAAATTTAACAACCCTTCATGATAAAAACTCCCAACAAAGAATACATATGAACCTCCTTAACCTAATAAAAGGCATCTACACCAACTACTCTCTCACCACCCCTACTCAACAGCATGCTGAATGGTGAGAGAATGAATGCTTTCTCTGAAGATCAGGAAAATGGCAAGATATCATCCATCACCATGCCTATATAGTTTCATACTGGAAATCCTGACAAGTGCAATAAGGCAAGAAAAATAATAAAAGGGCATATAGACTGAAAAGAAAAACATAAAATGTTCTATTTTCACATGACGTGATTGTTTATATACAAAATTCCAAAGAATCTATAAAACATCTCTTAGAACTAATAAGTGAACTGAGCAAGGTTGCAGGAATCAAAGTGAATATATGAAAGTCAGTCATATTCATATATATGTTAGCAATGAACAATTGGAATTACAAATAAATCAAAATAACAACCACCATATCACAAAAAAGTAAAATACTTAGGAATAAATCTAACAAAATGTGAATAGATTCTGTATGCAAAAACTATAAATCACTAATAAAAGAAATGAAAGAAGATCTAAATCAGTGGAAAAATATCCCACATCCATGAACTAAAAGAATCAATTATTAAGATATCAATTTTCCCCACTTAGATTTGTAGATACAGCACAATCCCAGTAGATATCTCAGCAAGAATTTTTAGTAGATGTTAACAAGATTGTTCTAAAATTTGTTTGGAAAAGCGAAGGAACTAAAATTGTCCAAACAACTATGAAAAGAACATAGAGGACTCAAAGTAATAGTAAATCATGACAGTGTGGTATTGGCAAAAAGAATATACTTGCCATGTGAATTAGTCAGTAACAGTCTTCTAGATGCTAGAGACATGAAGCCTAGTTTCTCGATGACCCCAGACATGTGAGTGAGGCCACCAAAAACTCTTTCTCCCCTAGGCATCCCACCATCTGACTGCGGCCACACAAGCAGGCCCAGGAAAGATCGGCAGAAGAAGCAACCAGCAGAAGCCAGCCAATATTGCCTACTCACAGAATTTTGAACTAAGAAATGATTGTTGTTTTAAGTTTTAGAGATTTTATTTTTACGTAGCAATAAATAACTAATATGTCATAATAACTCCAATGCCAACTGACAATTGTAGAAATATGATGTAAAATTTTGCAAATTTGATAAAAATATATGATCATATGAGTATATTGCTCAGGGCCTTGGAAGAGCATATGTATGTGGAAGACTCAATCTGATGCTTCATTCAAGGTAAATCCAACTTGGTAAGCATTAGGCTGAATGTTGAAACACTAACAGTATCCTCTTTAAAGTCATAGGGAATAAAGGAATGCCTTCTATAATCTCATCATATAACATTGTTCTAGATGTCTTGCCCAAGAAATTAACAATAATAACTATATTTTATGTTAAATGTATCATGGCTACACTAAGGATTTCACAGGGATTATTTCATTTAATTATTACAACAACTTCATGAGGTAGGGAATGTGACAACACCTTTCTGATGCAGAAACTGAGGCTTACAGAGTTTTATTGCCAGAAGTTACATGGTTAGTAAATGTCAGGTTTCCATTATCAAAGTCTGCGCTCTTAGTAACTATACTTAGGAATGCAGGAAAGAAAAATAAGTTAAAATTAATGGAAGAAGACTATTTTACTTTTTGTTACTACATTTTTTCCACTAACTTGAAGGGGATTCTTCTAATATATTTTCTAGCTATAAAGGAAAACAATCTAACTTTATGCTTAATTTAGAGTTAGTCAACTTATGATAACCACCTTACTGACTCTCCAATAATTTTAAGGTGATACTCTAAGTTTATACTAGTAGACAAACATCATCTGGAAATAGAGATAAGCATATTTTCTCCCACATAGACAATTCTAGAGAATCCATTGCAAAGAAAATATTAGAATGATTATAGCTAATAAGACAGCTCATTAAAGTGAATGTATGCAATACAATTTGGTTGTTTTTTTTTTTTGAGACAGAGTCTCAGCCTTGCTCACAGCAACCTCAAACTCCTGGGCTGAAGCAATCCTTCTGCCTCAGCCTTCAGAGTAGCTGGGACTATAGGCACAAGTGACCATGCTCAGCTAATTTTTTCTATTTTTAGTTGTTTGGCTAATTTCTTTCTATTTATAGTAGAGATGGGTCTCACTCGTGCTCAGTACATTTTTTTTTTAAAAAACCTAGTTTTCCTGAAAGCCAGCAAGAAACAATGAGAAAATATAATGGGAATATGTAGTATTTAGAATAGCAATAACAATATAATCTACCTAGGAATTGTGAATGAAATATGCAAAGCTTATGTAAAGAAAATTTCAAATATTTAATTGCCTACATAAAAAGCCCTACAAATAAATTAACTTACATAATAACTTTCTATGTATGAAGTTTGAATCTACAAAGTTGTCAATTCTTTTTTTTTTTTTTTTTTTTTTTGAGACAGAGTCTTACTCTGTTGCCAGGGCTAGAGTGCCGTGGTGTCAGCCTAGCTGACAGGAACCTCAAACTCCTGGCCTCAGGTGATCCTTCTGCCTCAGCCTCCCAAGTAGCTAGGACTACAGGCATGCGCCATCATGCCCGGCTAATTTTTCTATATATATTTTTAGTTGGCCAATTAATTTCTTTCTATTTATAGTAGAGATGGGGTCTCGCTCTTGCTCAGGCTGGTTTCGAACTCCTGACCTTGAGCTATCCACCTGCTTCGGCCTCCCAGAGTGCTAGGATTACAGGCGTGAGCCACCGTGCCTGGCCTCAAAGTTGTCGATTCTTGCCAAATTACATAATTCTAATCCAATAAAGCCTAAAAGTTATTTATTTGCCAGCTTTCTTGTCTAAAATTTTTTTTTGAGACAGGTTCCTGCTGTATTGCAAGCAATCCTCCCTCAAAGCAAAGCTAATACATGCCCTCACCATACATCACACTCTTGTGTAATTTTTTTTAAAGGTGATGCATTCACAGGGTTCAACATATCAAATATAATGTATGATGGACCAAAGTCCTAAATATAAGAACTAAGACTATTACACTCTTAGAAGAAAATCCTCATGACTTTGGATTTGGCTATAATTTCTTGGGTATGACACCAAAAGCAAAGGCAACAAAAGTAAAAATAAATATATTTACTATATAAAAATTAAAAACTGTGAATCAAAGGGCACAACCAACAGAGTGAAAGACAACCTACAAAATGGGAGAAAATATTTGTAAATAATATATCTGATAAGGGTCTAATAGTCATAATACATATATATTATATATCTTACAACTCAACAACAGAAAGACAAACAATTCAATTTTTTAAGTGGGCAAGTAGGTCTAGAGTTGAGGACTTGAATAGATATTTCTCCAAAGAAGATACACAAATGTTAAATAACCACACAAAGAGATATTCAACGCCTTTATCCATTAAAGAAATGAAAATTAAAAGTACAAAGAGGTAGCCTACATATCTAGTCAGAAAAATTAAAATATTAAGTAGCAATGACACCAAATGCTGTTGAAAATGTGAAGAAACTAGGTCATTCATACATAGTTGGCTACAATGTAACATGGTAAAGCTACCGAGAAACAGTCTGTTAGTTCTTTTTTTTTTTTCTGAGTTTATTCCTTTAATTAAATGTCAGGCTGCTATACATGTCCATGACAATTAGAATAGAAAAAGTACAAAGAACAGAAATAATTTCTATTCCTTCTATGTAGTAAACTTTGTTGGGTATAGATGGAAAACATCAGTCAGAAGCATTAATTTGAACTTGTTGGCAAAAGTGTAGCTGCTTTTGGCATGTTTTGCTTTGATATGTACACAGAGGCTGTAATGAAGTAGAGCTACTCATCTTTTTTATTTTTTAAGATAGAAAGATTTTCTTTATTAATGACCTCAACCGTATTTCTTTAGATACAGGAGTTTTGAACTCAAATACTTAGGAGAAAACAAGTTAGCACTGCATTATCCGGCAACTCATCACTAGTAACATATTGCAAAGCGAAACAGCCTGGAAAAGAGGGTGGGAGGGAAGGAGAGCGAGGGAGGGAAGATAAAGAAAAGGAATTAAGTTGATAAAGTGGAATTCTTCTTTTTTAATTCTTGGGAACTATGAAGTCCTTGCAAGCACAGCTCGTTTCTGCAGATTAGTTTCCAAACGTGTACAAAATGGAACCAAAAGGGAGAGTCCCTTAGGAACCTGAAGAGGGGCAACATTAAAAGCTACGATTATCCAGTATCAAGTGTTCCAGCCTCCAGCTGCCAGCCGCTTCCTCCTCTTATTCCCAGGAGTCAGCGGGATGAAAACGTCTTCCCCGTGCTTGTTTGCATCACTTTTTTCTCGGCCTCTGCACGTGCACGGCTAGGCACCCCGAGAAAGTCCGAGTTTTCGCCCGCACGCGTGCGCGAACGCAGGCCTCGGGGCACTGGGTGCGGGGTGCAGGCAGCCCCGAACGCGCGGTGCGGCTGCAGGCGCTGTCTGTGGCGCTGGCGCTGGTGTGGCCAGGGAGCAGCACGAGGCGATGTAGCCAGTGTTGCCACCCGGGGCGGCACCTGTGTCTTTCGGCTCCAGAGGAGGTTCCCTGTGGCTAAAAGTCCCCTGCGGGGCTGCGGGGCTGCGGGGCTGCGGGGCTGCGGGGCTGCGGGGCTGCGGGGCTGCGGGGCTGCGGGGCTGGCCCCGCGTCCTTCTTTGAACTCCTGCATGAGCGTCGTCGTCTGCCTTAAACACTGGGCTGCAGACTGCCGTGACTCTGTCCTTTTAGACTCAACACACCTGGTCTCTCACCCCTACAATGGATCACTGCCCTGTTCTCTCCTTCCTTGCCTTCTTCTTGGAATTGGAAATATTTCTCAGAGGCAGAGGCAAAACAATTTCGCTTCGACATGCCAGCCTGATGTACAGTGGAATCCTTGGATGCAGGCAAATTTTCAAGGTCTTGTAGCAAAGAGACATTGTATCCTGATTCCGGACTTACCGAGAGACTCCCTACACCCTCTTTAATAGCTCATCAGCACCATGTGCCTGAAGTTCCTTGCAGAATTTCAAAGAAATACTGATCATCACTTTCGTCTTGTCTCCATTAGGATTTGAAATATGATGGAGGACCCCATCAAAATCTGCAAATGTTACTTCTACTGCTTCCAGCTTCTTCCCTGCGGCCGCGTTCTCGAGCTTGTCTCCTGGGCAAAGCGGTTGCTCACCTCCTGCAGGACCCCGCTGCGGCGCGAACCTCAGCCCGCCGCCGGCGCGCCTCGCCCAGAGCTACCGTCTGCTTGCTCATCTGCAACACACTCATACCAAGGAAAGAGCTGAATCCTACTGAGGAGGGTCTTTATCAGAAATAGGCCCCAGCGCAGTTAGGTGACACAAAGAAACCACTTTCCCTTCCAAGGCCTCATCCAAAGGTTCCTCATCCACACTCTCGGAAGGCTGGATGAGATGACCTTTAAGTTTCCACAGCTGATGTGCACACATCGGTTCATACATCGTGGCAGAGGCAGACAGTAAGGTCATGCTTCCTGGCCCCGTGGTGCTGCGCTTGGCAATGTGACTTGCTTAAAGCAAAAACGGCACATGTGTCTTCTGAGACTGAAATGTCTGTCATCTCCTTCTCCTCGGGCCTTAGAGTGGCAGTGTCTCCAAAAGGGGTCATTCCTTCAGCTTCAATCCTGGAGTGAAGATGACATGGAGCAGTGCCACAGTAAATCAACAGCTGACATTAACCCACTGGGAAATATTCCTCTGTTGTTGTTACCACAGCATAACCTAATGAAAGCTAATTAAATACAAGAATGTAGAAATAATTATCAGTTCATAGTTAAACTGAAAACACAAAAACATGAAATTAATCTAAGATTAATAATGTAAAATGTAACACAATGGAAATATGTTAAAAAGCAGCCTTTAAAAATAAAAAAAATAGTATTTGTAGTAAAATAAATTGACTTAAACATGTACAAAGAATTTTCCTTGTGATTTCTGGTTTGAATCCTTGAATGACTATTCCAAGTAAAAATCAACATTTTTTAACAATTGTTCTTCATCATAGAGATATTTCAAGGTAATATTTCCACCATTATATAAAGGACAATCCTTAGTAATCCAGGCTGGTAAAGTATGATCCATGGCTTTTTCTGAAATAATGTAACATAACCTGAATTCCTTCACTGTTTATTTATTATGGTCCTTTTTAAGACTGGCTAGAGAAGCTAAAATATCTATGGTCTTTCCAATGTTCCATCAGTGGCAAAAGAACATTGGTTTGCTCTTCTCTTTTCTCCCCTTAGGTAAGAAAACCTGAAAGTAAATTTTTTCTGTCTATAAAAGAAAGATACTATCAAACTGAATTAAAAAATAAAATACAGGCATATGCTGCTTATAAGAGAAACCCTGTGGCAATGACTTAACCCCATTAGCATGCATCTTTAATTTCATCAGTGCAACCTTACAACTATTTCACCATTTTTTGCACCTTTCCATCATTTGCCTGCTGTCTTTTCTGCCTTGGAATCAATAATGTCTTTGACAACTTTCTGAGTGGGACTCATACCAGACTTTGGGATTTCCAGTTTTTCACACTCATGATCTGACTAAGGACAGTGTCTCGGGCAAAAATTCTCACAATAAGGACATATAACTGTCACAAATTCTCTTTCTGTACAGTCCTTGAATGGGCATGGGTAAGATTTATGTTTATCTGTCTTTAGTTGCTCATTGATTATAGTCACCTCAGGACAACAGTGAGACTCCCTGTTTCCATGTTCAAGGCAAAATATTCCTGGACAACCACCATATGCAAATGGAAGAAGATCCGCTACCACCACCCATGGAACCAAAGCAGGGACTGAGTTTCCCATGGCTGGGCATGGGCACTCACCAATAGCCTGGCTGCCAGCAGTGTCCACCTGGCAGTGCTGTCCGCATCTGCTATCTCCCCAGCTCTGCAAGGCAGGGCAGAGCCTGAGGGGGGTGGGGCAATCTGTTGGTTTCTTTATGCAGTTACCATGCAACTGAGAAATTGCACTTTTGGGCATGTATCCTAAAGAAATGTAAAATTATATTCACACATACAAAAAAACCCTGCACATGGATATTTATCACAACTTTATTTGTAATAGCCAAGAACTTCAAACAATCCAGGTATCCTCTAAGAGATGAATTATTAAGCTGTGATATATCCATACCATAGACTATTACTGAACAATAAAAAGAAACAAATTAGTGATACATACGACAACTTGGACAGATCTCAAGGTAAATAAGCTCAGTGAAAATAAGCCAATCTCAAACGGTCATATACGGTCATATACTGTATGATTCATTTCTGTAGCATTCTTGAAATGACAAAATTATAGAAATAGAGAATAGGTTAGTAATTCCCAGGTCTTGGGAGATGAGGGGGAGGAGGAGTGAGGTTGTAGTGGCCATAAAATGATATATAAAGGATCCTTGTGATGGAACTACTGGGTATCTTGACTGCGGGTGGTAATCACACAAATCTACACATGTAATAAAATTGCATAGAACTAAGTACACACACACATGAATGCATGTAAAACTGGCAAAATCTGAATAAGGTCATTGGATTATATTAATGTCAATTTCTGATTGTGCTATTGTACTATTGCTATGTAATATGTATGAAACATGTATGTAATGTGTGCAATCTCTAGACCAACAACACTACCTGAAACTTGTTAGAAACGAGAACTCTTGGGCTCGACTCCAGAAATACTGAATCAGAAACACTGGGTGGGGCCCAGAAATTTGATATAACAAGCTCTTAGCTAATTCAGATAAATGCTAAAGATTGATCACCACTGCTTTCGCTTATAAATTGCTAATCCCTTGGAAATCATCTTTGGTTAATATCCAGGTTTCTAAGCTGGAAGCAGTCATTACTTGAGATTTGGGGATTGATGAACTTGGGGAAGAGAGGACTGTGTTCCATGAAAGAAGGTAAAACGTGTGTAGAGTTGTATAGCCATAGGGACATATGTTTGTTGACTGACCCAGCTTCTCTCTTGTACCTTGTCATCAGGAGTGGCTATATGGCACTGCTCCAGCCAATGAGCTGTAAGTGGAATCTGCTGTAAGGTTCCTGGGAAAACTTGTGTTTTCTTGATCCAAGTGTTCCCCCTTTTCCCTTTGGGTCAATCTAAGAGATCTATCAGAATTATTCAGAAAAAATCAGAAATGTATATATATATATTTACCTCATCATAGTGCATTTATTAGAAATAACATTAATGTTCAACAATAGGCTAATACATAATTTTTGGTATTTTCATAGATGGAATTTTTGTGGCCATTATGGTTGATGATTACTGAGAATTTTGATAACATGGAAATACTTATATTAAGTGAAAAATCCAGATATGAAGGTGTATACATATTTGATAAATAATTTTATACATATATTCACATGCATGCATACTTTAAATCTCTTTTTTTGTTGTTTTGAGACAGAGTCTCGCTTTGTTGCCCAGGCTAGAGTGAGTGCCGTGGCGTCAGGCTAGCTCACAGCAACCTCAAACTCCTGGGCTCAAGTGATCCTCCTGCCTCAGCCTCCCGAGTAGCTGGGACTACAGGCATATGCCACCATGCCTAGCTAATTTTTTTTCTATATATATATTAGTTGGCCAATTAATTTCTTTCTATTTATAGTAGAGATGGGGTCTCGCTCTTGCTCAGGCTGAGTTTCGAACTCCTGACCTCGAGCAATCCACCTGCCTCGGCCTCCCAGAGTGCTAGGATTACAGGCGTGAGCCACCGCGCCCGGCCTAAATCTTAAGTTAAAAATAAATGTATACTATTAATCAATCTTTTAAGGTAGAGATAAGGACTACTTTCAAGTATTGTGTCAGGGACTGGAGTTTTGATAATTCTTCCTTACATAAAGCACACTGATAATGATTTTTAAGGTCTATCTGAGATTGAGAACTATTGGTATGCTCTGTATAGATGTGCATATGTGTGTTTATATGTAACTTTTTTACATGTAAGAACACTTCAAAATGTTAACAAAGCTATATCTGCATGTAATTCCTCCACTGCAATGCATCTTATATTATTGTGTAACTTTTATAATTTTCTATCCCATAAGCATTATTACTTTTGATATCATAAAAATATAATTTTTTTTGACAGAATTTCACTCTGTTGCCTGGACTAGAGTGCTGTGGCATCAGCCTAGCTCACAGCAACCTCAAACTCCTGGGCTCAAGCAATCCTTCTGCCTTAGCCTTCTGAGTAGCTGGGACTACAGGCATGCGCCACCATGCCTGGCTAATTGTTTTTTCTATATATTTTTAGTTGGTCAATTCATTTGTTTCTATTTTTAGTAGAGACGGGGTCTCACTTTTGCTCAGGCTGGTTTCAAACTCCTGCCCTTGAGCGATCCACCCGCCTTGGCCTCCCAGAGTGCTAGGCACTGCACCTGGCTAAAAATATAATTTTTTAATATTAAAAAGGTAAGGGGAAATAATTCAAGCTCAAAGTACATCAACACAGAGACGGAGAAGCAGCTCAAAGAGAGAAATAAGTTGCCTTAGGGGTCTTAAATACCTGACCTCAAATGGTTACATCTCCTCATCAGGCTCCAGTTTACAGATCTCGCTGGGCATTCCAAATCCAAAATCTGAAGTTCAAAATGCTCCAAAATCCAAACCTTTTTGAACACCAAAATGATGCTCAAAGGAAATGTTCTTTTTGGATTTTCAGATTTGGGATACTAAACCAGTATAATGCAAATATTACCAAAAACTGAAAAAATCTGAAACCCAAAACAATTCTAGTCACGGGCATTCCAGATAAGGGATACTCAATCCACATAACTGTATCCCAATTGACTTGCTCTTCCACTGGTCCATACAATGGTATGAGATCAATTTACAGTTTTCCCAAGAATTAGAAAACACATACATTTGCAAAGAACAAATAAAATTTATTTTACTCACACATAACTTTTTCCTTTATATGAGATAAATCCTTTTACTAACCTATATTTTGGCCTTTGGGGAGCCTCTATATTCAGATTCATAAAAATTAGTAAAAAATAAACACATTGGTGGAAAAAATAGCTCCCCAAGGAGTGACATGATCAGTATTCTTTCCACGCTCCACCTCTTACTAACTTTCCAGCTAGAAGATGGGATAGATATAGCAGGAGAAACCAAACCCT